AAATGTTTTGACCCTTAAAAAGATCTAAACCCTCAAACTAAACTATAATACAACATAGTTAATCCAAACATAAATAATATAATGAATAAATAATTTTGAAAAATTGACATTTTTGCAAAGATTTTTAAAAATTGGCATTTTTGAAAAGTGGTATATTTCAAAATTTCTCTAGATCTAGATCCAATGTCTCACAATTCCAGTCCAGAGAATCCATTACCCTTCATCATTTGAATTAGCGACATTTTTGTCATTGATGGAAATTACTAGACAGTATTTTGTGAGTTACCTTCCAAAAACAGCATGAGACACTAACCAAATATAGTCTGATTTGCTTATGTGACTGCAACCTATTCCTTAAAAAATGATATCCTCTATATATTAATAGAGGAGACACTAGATGAAAATCCTAGATATCATGCAAAGATGATTTTAAGGAATTCTTAAGGAAAGATACATGAACCAAATTATCATATATACAATATATAATCATCAAATGAATATGTGGTAATTAAACTAGAAGATTTTATGTGACAATATCTTATTTTCTTTTCAATAAGACTAACTACTAGATTTTTTGACCCACGTCAAACACATTATTAGAATATTCAAAAAAAAAAATTAAATATTTTTTAATACACAGGAAAAAGTAAAAAAAAAACATAAATCAAATAATATATATCTCTCATATTTTATCTTACAAAAATTAATTTGCATTACACTTAGTAAATGTATATAATTTTTGAGAAATGCCACTTTTCAAAGTTAATAAAAAATACCATTAATTAGAATTTTTTTTCAAAATTGTCACTAATCCTCTATATATTATTGAGTAGATATTTGGTGATAAAATCATGTGTTATTCAATAAGGTTTTTAAGGAACATGTCATTAAATTAACCAATGAAAATATTTTTATTAGAGTTATATGCCATGGTGAAAATTTACATGTTTTAATTAATTTTATAACATAAATTCATTAATAGATGTTATACAGATTTAAGTTTGACTAAATGTAATATTTAGACTTACAATATATTTWTGAAAAAAWTGATATATTAAYAAAWWWMTCATTATTATAWTTGTAACYACATTATCTATTTGTAGATGATAAGTACACTTACAAATATTTTTACATTTTATTATTGAAAAACATATATTTTTGCTTGTTATGTCCGACAAATTCATATAAATCTAAAAATTCATTTGATTTATCACATATTCTATAATTTACACAAATCAGAAAAATTAATTTACACTTCAAATTAATTGAAATAAATAACATTTATATTAGTTTTAATATTTTTATGCTAAGTTGATCAAAGTATATGACATCAAAATTGTTTGATCAAAATTTAAGTTTATAAATATTATAATACACGTCTAAATACTAAAATCAATTAAAAAGCATATTCAAATATTTAATCCCACGCTTGGTGTGGGTCAAAATGTAATGTAACATTATTATTAAAAGACATTCTCCGCCGCACCACCGCGTCGTGCTCGAAGTCGTAAGTTTTATTATTATGTTTTATTTGATCTCCATTTTTTGTATGTTGCAAAGGAAGTAAGACGAAGGATAAAACATATTGATATGAAAATATTCAACACGTCGCTTGTATTGAATTAAAATGATCTTATCT